TTACAAAACTAAACCGAACTACTTTGAACCCTGGATTGAGAATCGCTTTAACAAGACAGCATACAATGCAGTGAAGTTGTTATCAATAACAACAAGTTATTCAGTAATAATAAGTTATTATTCGCATGCAAAGTATCGAAATTACATTAAAAGAGCACATCAGTTATGGCACAGATACTGTATATTTAGTTATCCGTTGGCCGATGATGCTGATAACAAATACAATTTTTCTATATTTTCGTATTTCGGGGGAAAATAAATCTTATGAGAATTTTCAAGAATTGACCTTGAAAAAACATTCTTAACATGACCCTTTAACATGACCTTTAAACCTACGATTACCACTGTTTTAATTAAATTTTTAACGAGGAAAATTTTTATGAGACACAAATTCACCTTGGGCCTACAAAACCTTCGTCAATATTTAATGAAGAAAATGAATATAATGAAAACATAAATTCATATTGTGACTATGCTAAAATGTGCCCCAAGCACTGAGATATCCCTAATTGAATGTTTTACCGCTGCAAAACGTCTTGGACTCGGCGAAAAATGTCTTTAAAGTGCAAGCTGTGCTTGTTTACTCTATCGTATCAATAAAATTTGACGTAACAGTCTCTCATTCAAACTGGAGTTTCCTTCACTCAGTTGAACAGCCGCACAGCTCTATCCTCATAAATAAATAACCGTTCCAGGTCTGTGGCCGGATTCTAATGAAGTGAGCTCGGATGTGCTGTGAAAACACGTGACAAACAACTGTGTTTTTGTCGGCGTTTCCTTGAAATACCTGAAACATTAACGTAAATGAGTGCTGCTGAGTTTATGAGCAACATTTTCCAGCTCGAGTTCGAAAACGCTAAACATCAAATTCGTTACCAAAGCGTGTTTCGGTTCTTGTCTTTCAATATTTTCTGACTTTTTTATTCAATTTTAGTCTTTTTTTTCCCTATAAAGATAGGATCAACCGTTCCCAAATGTCAAAAGTTGTGTATAAGGCTAGTTGTTGGAACTGCCAGGATTTCTACATTGGAAAAACAAAACGTAGATTACATGACAGAAAAACTGAACATTTTAAAGCGATCATGAGTAACTGTCATGCGTCTGCTATCGCAGACCACGTCACGTCAACTGGTCACCACTTAAAATGGGACCACTTTGATATATTGGCAAAAGGTCGGTCAGATACTCATTGCAAGATAAAGGAGAC